TTCCTCTCTCTCTAAGAATAAATAAATAAATAAATAAAATCTCTCTCTCTCTCTCTCTTATATATATATATAAGCAAGAAGAAAAAAGAATCCAAAAAACAAGGATAGTGCAAGCAGCTTGTGGGACTTCAAGGATTCCAACATTTGAATCATAGGAGTACCAGAAAAAGAAGAGAAGAAGCAAAAAATTAGAAATCTATTTCAAAAAATAGTGAAAGAAAACTTCCCTAATTCGGTGAAGGAAATAGACATTCAAGTCCAGGAAGCACAGAGAGTCCCAAACAAGATGGATGCAAAGAGGCCCACTCCACATCAGAATTAAAATGCCAAAGGTTAAAGATAAAGAGAGAATCTTAAAAACAGCAAGAGAAAAGAAGTTAGTTACCTACAGGGGAGTTCCCATAAGATTGTCAGCTGATTTCTCAAAAGAAACTTTGCAGACTAGAAGGGATTCACAAGAAATATTCAAAGTCATGAAAAGCAGAGACCTACAGTCAAGATTTCTCTACTCACCAAGGACATCATTTAGAATCAAAGGGCAGATAAAGAGCTCCCCAGACAAGAAAAAACTAAAGGAGTTCATCATCACTAAACCATTATTATATGAAATGTTAAAGGGGCTTATGTAAGAAAAAGATCCAAGCTATGAACAGTAAAATGGCAATAAATACATATCTATCAACAATTGAATCTAGAAAATAAACTAAGAAAAAAGAACAGAGACAGAACCATGGATGTGGAGAACAGATGGTTGCCAGATGGGAGGGGAGTGTGGGGAATGGGTGAAGAGGTGATGGATTTAAGAAGTAGAAATAGGTGATTACAGAATAAACTTGGGGATATAAAGTACAGCATAGGAAGTGGAGTAGCCCCAAAACTTATACACATGACCCATGGACATGAACGATGGTGTGGGATTGCCTGAGGGACTGGGTGATTCTGGGTGGAGAGGTCAAAGGGGGAAAATTGGGACAACTATAATAGCATAAGCAATAAAATATAATAAAAAATAAAATTAGTTACCCTTCTCCACCTCATTCCAAAGCAATGAGCAAAACCCAGAGGGATATAAATTCATAAAATACTTAGGTTGCCAATTAATTGGATAAACACACTTGAAAAATTCAGTCTTTAAAATAACGAGTAAGGGTAAAGGTGACATAAAAGTTAGAATTTTACAAATAACTTGAAACTTGGCATCGCTGATTGTTTTTAAACAATCCAGATAATGATGGGGATGTTAAGGGGTGACTGTTCTAGCTGAGCCTCTCACCATTGGTATCTTCTAGATGTCTGACATGTTTATACGAGGTCTGTCCAGAAGGTATCCATCCATGTAATATGAAAAACAGAGATATTTGTTGAAGAAGATGCAAGATACAAGAAACATTGTACATGGGACAGTGATGCCTCTCTCCTCTTCAAAGTAGGCATGTTGGGACCGCACACAGTTCTAATTGCCATCAGCTGCCCCATTGTATTTTCCTGAATTGCATCTATAGCATTAAGTCTCTTTTTTGAAGGTACTTTTATTTTATTTTATATTTTAAATTAATTTTTAAATTATTTTATTGTTCAATTACAGTTGTCCTTATTTTCTCCCCACCACTCTCCCCTACCCCCTCCAAAACCACCTCCCTCATTTGTGAAAGTGATTTTAGTTTGGGGAAAAGCTAGATGTTGCAGGGCACCAAATCTGGGCTGTAGGGGGCCTGAGTCACCTGGTGATTTGATGTTTCACGAAAAAACTCTGCAGGAGATGTGATGCGTGAGCGGGTGCGTTGTGTTGATGAAGCTGCCAGTCACCAGTTGCCCTTGGTTGCAGCCTTCTGAATCAACTGAATAGTTCCCAGAGAGGAATGTTTGAGCTTAATGCAAAATCTGATGCAGGTTCATTGCTCCACTGGCTGAGTCATTTTGAATGCGACATCCACACAGTACACATGCTCACTCAATTGCATCTACTGCCCCCACTGACTAGTACAGTGAAGTCGTCATTGTTCACACACAAGCATTCCAATCCATTCTCTTGGCTGCCAGGTTATATCGATGTTGTGCAAACCATTCTCATATACTAGCAACAGCTCGAATTTTTCCAGATAGACCTCATATATGCCAGCCAGCACAATGCTGACCAAAGGAAATATATTTCTTTCATTTTTCCAAGAATTAAAATGAGTGTATTTGGCCCTGGCTGGTGTGGCTCAGCGGATTGAATATTGGCCTGTGAACCAAAGGGTCGACTGTTTGATTCCCAGTCAGAACACATGCCTGGGATGCAGGCCAGATCCCTAGTAAGGGGCATGAGAGAGGCAACCACACCCTGATGTTTCTCTCCCTCTTTCTCCCTCCCTTTTCCTCTCTCTAAAAATAAATGAATAAAATGTTTAAAAATAAAATGAGTGTATTTGAACCACTCTGGACTTCATTTTACAGGATAGAGAACCAGTCTACTTAAAAAGCTACATTGTCCGAAACAGGTGAGTTTCTACTATTTTACTTCTTGACTGTTTTCTTTCCTTAGGATGTCAAGATAGTTTAGGTAATCAGTTGTAGCCGTTATTTTCCACAAAGATGTTTTGACACTGCTTATACCTTGTATCTTTTGTTTCTTTGTTCTGTACATCTTTTACTGAGGGATCATTTAGATACCATAGAATTCACCTATCTGAAGTGTACAGTCTGAGTCTTAGTAAATTTATATAGTTGTGCAGCTATTACCACAGTCCAGCTTTAGAACAAACCCATCACATGCTTGGCATCTGACCAGCCCCATATGGGAAGAGTGTATTGTATCACTAACCTGTGTATTTGAACCATGTAGCTCTAGGACCTGGCCTAGGCATTCATTGTGAATAAACCAAGCTCTAAACTAAAACCAACACAGACTCTGAATTTGACCCAAAATAGAGGTCCATAAAGCACATTCTCCAATGGCCTCTCTACAGGTCTGCAGGCAATTAAAGGATATAAGTTAAAATATGGACAAGGAGTAAAAGTTAACACACATACCCTAATTTAGGTGTATATTGTACAATTCATTGTAGTTCATGCTGATATTAGGGCCACCTTTCACCCAGACAAACTTAATGGTTTGTTCCCTCTTATGACTGTGATTAGGTGAGACAAGCTGTCCAGGGCCTAAACACTCTGATCTAGCATATCACAGATTTATCAAAGAAATATCCCCCCTTTCTGGAGTCTGGCTGCGCCCATTGTCATGGGGTTAGACCTGAGATGTTGGCTGGGTTCTTGCAGAAGAAGAGCTTCTTCAGGAACGGGATATTTGAAGAGGCCCCGAGGTTGTCTGGTTTCAAAAAGATTACTCAAGAAATAATTAAATTACCGTGCCTCTCTTCCTGCAAACCCAGTATTCGTGGTCTGCTCCTCCCAATATAATATTTATTAAGTACTTAAAAATCTCTCAGTGCAAGCCTTATAATATGAAGAAAATGAAAATGCCTCTATTTGTTATTAGTTTTGTTTTTTTGCTCCTGTCTTATTTCTAAGTTTATCTATAGGAGTTTCAGAGGACTAGTTATATATAAACGAACTCCACTTTGGTTTCAGGTACATCTTCATCAAGCCCCGTAGAGTTTACTGTTAATTCCATTATTTTATATTGATATTTGTGTTCCGTCTCTACCAAATATTGAGTAAGCTTTTTGTGTTTAGAATAGTTGTTACAAACTTTGTGTGTGTGTGTGAATAAATAAATGCTACATTTCTCAAGCACCCAGTCCACACTGGACACCCCAAAAACCTATTTAATAGGCACTTGTTTAATTAATAAATGACACCTCAGATTTGCCTTCCCTCTCTCAGGCCTCCATGACATTACATTTATCATATAGCCCAGATTTCCTAGACATGACAGATTTTCTGTCCCACTGTCCCCACTCAGTACAGTAGCATGTGCCACACCATATGTGTGGCCATATAGTCTTCAATAGCTGTAACACAAAGCCATCTCCATTGCAATAAGTCTGATTTCTATTCCTCCCTTTTTATTAACTAATAGATTTGATTACGATTTCAAATACAGTCCCTTTTATTTAATTTCACTCTTGATTTTTGATATTACCAAAGCATTACTAGTAGGAAAAATTTGACAAACAAAAAGTACAAAGTAAAATTTCCCTTCATCAAAGATAATCTCAGGGCTCCGACACTACGAGTGTCTAGAAATATTCCCTACACGCAGGAGGCAGCTGCGTGGTCCCCCTGGGCACCTGTCGAAGATTATCCATTCACAGATTCTAGAACCTTGGGTAAGGCACTGAAACCTCTATGAATCTTGGGGTTCCTCCGTAAAATGCTGCCCAGCTCACTAGTTTCTGGAGTCTACAGACGTGTATTTAAGCGCTACGCAAATTTAAAGGATTGTTGTGGGGTTCTTTATGCCTGCTCTGTGACTTGTCAGTTCACCAGGCAACTTTAAAGGGCGCCCGAATCACCTCTCTCCCGCACCCCATTTTGCCCCCGCCGATCCTGCACCCGCAAATTCTGCGGCTCCTTCTGCGATGGCCGCTTCTCCAGACTTCTCCCCAGTGACCGTGACTTGGCACAGCGTCAGGGCGCCCACGAGCGCCAGGCCCCGTCGCGGGAATGACTGGGAAGCTCGAGGAGTTCTCGGCCACCGGGAAGAGCGAGCCTTCTTTGTTGCACTCCGCGATGCAGCCAGTAAACCGGTGTTTCCTCTATGGCTGCCACCGGGTTTTAAATGGGAGTCGCATTCACCCGGGTCCTACTCTCACCGGCTTCGGTATTCGAGGAGGCACAACCAGCTTCTAAGCCTCCTTCCGCCTTCAGCCACGCCCCCCCATTCAAGTCCCTGTATCCCACGCCTCTTAGCTTATTCAATTTCGGCGCGCGCCCAGCTTGAGAATAGCTATGATTGGTTGGAGGTGAGCAAACCTCCCGTACAATTGGCTGATAATAGTTGGAGGGTGGGGTTAAGGATGTTAAGTGGTCCTGCAAGACGGAAGCCAGTGTTGGCACAGGAAGTCAGGACAGAGGCGAGAAAGAAGGCAATGGAATTAGTTAGGTGTCCCAAGCACGGTGAGGGGCCAGGGTCCCAGGGTCTGTCGGGGGTCTGTTCATCTATCGCGGCATAATTGTGATCGACCTTCTCTCTTCAGGGAACTGCTGCTTTCTGAAGACCGGCGTCCACGAGGGCCCGAATAAAGGAAAAAGCTTCTACGTGTGCCGGGCGGAGGCTTGCAACTTCGTGCGGGCCACTGAGTAGGTCTCGAGCTGGGCACGACTCCCGGCGACTGCGCGGGGCCTCCTGGGAGGGGCCGCCGGCTCTCCGCGCCCTGGATCTCTGGGCCTAGGAGAGGTGCGGCCTTTGGTCTCGGGAGCCAGGGCCCTTCAAGTAGTCGCAATGCTAGGACTAGGTCGCGTCTTCAGGAGACGCTTTGCACTTGCTTGCTGTGTGACCTGAGGCTGGTTACTTACCGTCTCTGGGCCGCAGAGAGCTGTGTAATGGAGGATAGGCCACATCGGATCCCTCTAGTCCTTTCCAGCTTCGGGTTTCTATTTATTTGTCAGGCCTAGGTATCTTCTGCTCAGACACTTGCCCGCTTCCGTCCTTCCCACCCCATTTAAGCGAGGACCTCTTCATGGGCATAGTAGAAAATAGTTGGTCCTCGCTTTGCACTAGTTTTAGGCCCAACTGGCTTTTTAATGTTTAAGGTTGGAACACTCCGATGACCCCCATCTAAAAATAGGATTTAAGTGGTGAGAATGAAAATCCAAAGAAGCAGATTACTCTAGGAACTAACGCTGAAAGAAAATCAGATACTTGATTTTACACAATTGAAAGCTGAGACCCAGAAATATTGAGCTGCTTCTTTAAAGTGAGAAAAGTTAATACTGTTATCAAAGGGTTAATGTTTTCTCAGTGCCAGCACAGTCTCTAATGAACTTGAAAACGCTCACATCATTAAACAGTTCTCTCCTGTTCTCCGTTGAACTTGGTAGAGAAAAATAACTTTCCTCCACATCATGTAAAGCACACAGTATTGGATATCGACTAGAAAATAAACTTTTTAAAACATGTATATCAACTTTTCCTAACACTTTTTCTAATTTGAAGATTATGGGAATCCATTTTAATTCAATACAAAGTGATTTTTGAGTAAAACTGTCAAATCTTAAGATAGAAGGGACCAAACAAAAATAAGCTATCAGCAGCATATTGGGTTAGAGTTTACTATTTATTTCTAATTTCTATATTGAGCTCCTTAGGTTCTGTATCTAGTTTTGTGAAACATGAAAGCGTGTTCATGTTAGTAGGAAATAAGCATTAACGGTAGCATAAGACCCAGTTTTACATGAAAGGAGCACACCCTTATACAGAGTGCCATTTACACAAACGTTCTGCTATACACACTAGTATATTTGACTTCAAGACCAGTGATTTAAGTAAACTTGCTCAATTTGAGATATGTCTGGTAACTAGAATATAAGCAAAGTAAAGTACCATAGGTCATGGGAGAGTAAAGGGTGACAATACTTGAACCTATTTCCCCTCAAATGTTAAATAATTGTCATAATGAATAAGAAGCTGGAGGAGAGGGGTTAAATTTATGCCAAGTGGGAACACACGGGCGTGTTGCTAGAGTAGGTGGCATGTGAACATGCTAAGTGACAGCAGACAGGTCATTAAAGGGAACAGGGATGGAAGAAAGAGACTGGTGAAGCTTAGCAGCCAGTCTTACATACTTCAGGCATTCCTGGAGTCTCAATGTAAGGTCTGCACCACCGTGTAGTTTCAAACCTTTGAGTCATCAGGAAAAGGTTCTTTTTGGTGGTTCATGATTTGGGGGAGTGGGAAACATGCAAGCTGTGGACCCTTTCCCCAGAGGGATGTGCGGAGACCTAAATGTGGATGGGAGTGACAGGCCCCCTGGAGGTCATGCATGGGCTCTGATGTTCATTCTAAGGTGTTGATTCTTTTTCTCCTAAAACAAAATTTCTATTTTTTTCCCTCTAGCATTCCCATTTCTCATTGTTTATTGCATGAGGGCTTTGTGGTGGAGCTTCAGGGCTTACTTGCCCCAAAGGACACGAAAGACTATAGGTAAGTGTTCAAAGGGTCATCTAAATGTATTGGCTTTTTTTTTTCCCTTGCCTGGAAGAATTAGAGCCAAGTTCTCCAACAATGGACGATACTTTATTGACCATTCATTAAAAAACAACAGTATTTCTGCATTTATTGAATATCTTCTGAGCTGCAGTTTCTCACTACTGAGCAAAATTTCAGCATTAAACTGCTCCACCTTTGTGCTCTTCAGCTCTCACGTAGACAGTGACGCCAGCCCGCCACCGGTCATTAACTAACAGTAACTTGTCAACACTCTCATTCTGGTAGTCGGATGAGGTACTGTGTGAAAAGGTCTAACATAGGTTAAGTACTCAGTAAGTGTTCGTTGCCTTTTTTATGGGAATTCAGAGGAAGGGCAGGAAAGTTGATAAAGATGACTTGGTATTTCTCATGAGTATTGAAAGATAAGTAGGAATTCACAAGGAAGGGATCATACTAAGCCAGTTAATACTCTGCGTTAGGGTACTGAGGCATGAAGTAACAAGGAATTTCAAGCATTTGGTTCAGGGAGAGTTTAGCTTCTGTTTGAGTAGAGATTTTAGGAGGCTGGCTGGGAGAGGGGGGCCAGTGTGCTGGTCTTTATATGATGCTCTATGCAGTTTGGAATTTATATATTTTAGATCGAATGCCAAAATAGAGGCATTCAAGTGCCATCGTCACAATTTTTACATAACTGAATACCCTGTTTTACCAATTTCCTTAATTGAGCTGTGCACACAGTAAGAACCACACAGCTTAAGTGCTCAGCTGGTTGCGTTCTGACAAGTGTGTATACCAGTATGTAGGACTGAGACCTCAGTCAGAATATAGACTGTTTCTGTTACCCCATTAAGTGCCATTGGCCCCCATCTGGTTAATGCCCTCGTCCACCACAGGCTGCTGTTTTGATTCATACTGTATGTATTCTTTTTTTGTCTGACTTCTTTTATGTAACAGTATCTGTGAAATTCTCCATCTGGTTGTGTGTATCAGTAATTCATTCGTTGTTGCTGAGTTGAATTCTATTTTTGAATTCCACAGTTTGTTTCATGTGCTCATTTGGCATCTGTGTCTCTTCTTTGGTAGAGTATCTGTTTAAATCTTTTACCCGTTTTTTCATTGAAATTTCTATTGAGATAATTGTAGATTCACATGCAGTTATAAGAAATTATACAGAGAGATCCCCTGTAGACTTTATCTAATGGTAACATTTTAAAAAATTAAGTATACTATCACAACTAGAATACTGATGCTGATACAATTCACTGATCTTTTTTGTAAAGATAGTTTTACTTATACTAAACGTATATACATTTAGTTATATACAATTTTATCACATGTAGTTTCATGTATTCACCACCACAATCAAAATATTGAATAGTTTGGTTACCATAGTAACCTTCCTGTTACCCTCCTATAACCCTACCCACCCCCCTCCTGCTGTCCCTCACTCTTGGCAACCATGAATCTGATATCCATTTCAAAAATGTTACATAAGTGGAATCAGACAGTATGACTTATGGGGATTTTTGCCTATTTTAAAAATTGTAGTTCTTTTTGTTGTTACTGAGTTGGAGGAATTGTTTATACCTTCTCTGTACAAGTCCTTTGGCAGATACATGTATTATGAATATTTTCTCCTGTTTGTGGTTTTCATTTTCCTGTCTTTTGAAAAGCAAGAGTTTTTAAATTTTTATAAAGTTTGGTTCATTATATTTTAATGGTTTCTGCTTTTTTTTTCCTTCTCTTTGAGAAATGTTTGCCTACCCAAGATCACAGATTTCTCCAGTGGTTTCTCATAGAAGTTGTATAGTTCTTTGTTTGTTTAGTCTATATATGGCCGACCTCAAATTAACTTTGGGTATCTCATGAGATAAGAGTAGAAGTTTATTTTTTCATGTAATATTAAATGACTGTTATTGATGGTTTCTGCACTGCTTTTTGAAGGCACTTCTTTCTCCATGGAAAGGCTTGTAAAAAGAAAATTAGTTGATCACCATGTAGGGTTCTGTTTCTGGACTTGCTAATCATACAGTCAGCTAAGATAGTGTGCCTCTTCTAATGTTCTTTTTCAGGACTGGCTATTCTAGGTCCTTTGCTTTTCCGTATACAACACAGAATCAACTTTTCTAATTGCCTCAGAAACTCTGTTGGGATTGCACTAAATCTATACAGATCATTTTGGGAAGAACGGACATTAATATTGATGATCTTCTAGTTCCCGAGCATGGTATATTTATTTATCACTTTAAATTTTTCTCTTAGTGCTGTTGAATAGTTTTCATTATGGAGTTCTGTGCCTTTTTTTGTTAACTTTAATCCACAGTGTTTGTTGTTTTGATGCTGTTTGGAATTTTTTAAAATTTCACTTTTCTATTGTTTTCTGCTGGTAGAGAAGGGCTAGTAACCTAGCACATGGAATCAGGGTGATCACCTGACACCTGAAGCTATTGGCAGTCTACTGGGGGCCCTCTACCATGCAGAAACACTGTCCTAGGCGGGGCATTTGAATAACAAGGGAGAATAAATTAGGAAGTGAGGACAGTGGAGGGAGGGAGACCACTGAAGGAACAGCCACCAAGAATGCTGACTACAAGCTCACCCTGTCTTATTGCCGCAGTCTCTGCCGGGATAGGGGTCAGTATTCCTGTTTTACAGACTCTTGAGGAAACATTCCGAATGGTTAGGAGAGGAACCTGGGCTCCTGTGGTTATGAAGTGGTGCCGCTGGGATTCAGACTTGGATCGAGGCCGTGGCAGTGGTGTTTGGCATATTGTCTGCTCAGTATGCGGTTGCTGAGTTGGGGGTTTTTGGTGATGTTTGTACCCTTAGACAAGACAGGAAGAAAGGGGAACAGCGGAAGAGGACTGGGATGTGGAGCACGGAGAGAGCTTAGGACTGTTCAAGTCTTAGGTGTGTGTGAGACCGACTGGAAAAGTGCGTGTGCAGCTCTGAAGGGCGGTCTAGGCGAACTTACCATTAGTATTTTTCACACGAGGTAGAGGTAGCTGAGAGGTGATCATTATTTTAAAATAGAAAAAACATATATGCTTAGCCCAAATCTAGAACACTGTTACTCGAGCTTTAAAAAAATTGTTTTAGGACAAATAAAATACAGTCCTATAACACACAACAAATTAAAAGCCAGAAAACAACAACAAAAATGATGTAGCGAGACAGGGTGTGCAGTCTGGAAATGTAAGCCAAAATAGATAGATGCTGACTTCCTTTGCCAGAACGACCTCAGTGAATATAGCCTTTCCTTCCCTGGCACTGGTTTTGTTTTCAAGAACTTAAGGCACTTCACATATCCTTGAATTAATTGATGCCATTATGTTTAAAGCTTAACCTGAATAGGAGGTAGGTGCAGCCGAGTAAGGGAGAGGGGAAGTGAGTTGAGGCTGGGGTGCTCTTTCTCCTTGCGTTGGAGTGTAGCTGCACTGGTGTGCAGTTCTCCAACTGAAACACCAGGTGGCACCCCTCACCAGCGTTGAGGCACCCCAACACCAGCCCTCTGGCCCAGCCCTCTTGTCCGGGCAACAGAGGAAGCTATGATAGTCACTTGGTAGAACCTGAGGGAAGAACTCTCACTGTGACATGAGTGATTTACCACATAAAAGTGGCACACTTTGATTTGCAATGTGGGATGTTGTCATTGAGCTCCTGAGTGCATGTTCTTGTCTTTGTTTTCTCTTCCCAGCCCCGGTCCGTTTACTTTTTATTCTCAAGGATATGGGTCAAAATGGGTGGAAATACTCTTTTACCTATAAACAGTAAAATAGGTTTTAGTTCTTTAAGTAACTTGTTATAGTGTAGCAGGAGACCTGCTTAGACAAGCCCAGACAAGTCAGAAGGACACAGACCATTTGCTGAGCCACCAAGATAAGGAGGGGTGAGCAACTAAGTAACTAAGGAGTAAGAACAAAAGAACATTGTATGACCATATCAGCAGCCCTGCTTTCTTGCTTCTGTAAACCTGCTTCTGCTACGTAGGCTTAGTAAAATCACTTCCGAATGCCACACTATATAAACAAGCCCCTGCCAGAGCTTGGGACCCAGAATTTGGAGACTGCCTCCTCTGGGTCCATATGGGTAAATAAGGTTCCGCTCCATACACCCGAAAGCAGCTGAATTGTTTTCTGTAACATTTTGGTTCCCTGACCGGGAACCACTCACTCAAGCAGGCTTTTTTTTTTTTGCCTTCGGTGAAGGCGGCGGGGGAGTGACCCAGAGGGAGCCCGGTGGTGGAAGGGAAGCATGCGCCCCGGTGATTTCGGGTCCCAGACACCCCGGGCTCCGTGGAAGTCATCCTCTGGACTGTTCTTCGACCTGGACCGGTGGGGTCCGGACTGGAACTATCCAGACCTGGAAAGGCTCCAATCGGTAAGTGCCCTGGTGACCAGAGCCCAAGACCAGGCCCACCCCTTGTGGTGGAAGGAGAGACTGGTCATCTCTCAGGCAGGCAATTAGCCATAAGTCCTCTGGAGGCCAATTGGCCATCTGGAAGGGGAAACGTGTCACCATCTGGGCAGTCCTACTCGGGCGGGACTATATAAACTCTTAGACGTTTGTCTGTGTGTTTATGTGTGAGTGACTGTATAAAGGATGTGAAAATTTTAAACCTGGAGTAAAGGAAACCTCAACTACTTGTTTTCTGGGTTCATGGGAAAAGAGCAAATTTCTCACATGTGGTTCTGTTTCTGATCAGAAACCTATATTGTGAGACCTAGGAAAGGTCACCTGTAGCCTGTTGGGGAGAATGCCTTTGCCACTCAGAACCCAGGAAGGGTCAATTGGGGCCGACGAGTGCTTCAGCCTGAGGCAATCAGCATGTCTTTGGCATGAGACTGGGCCTGAAGGAGCATGTCTCTGCGAGGCACCAGCAGACGCATTGGTGCAAGAGAATGCCTCTACCTGTGTGTTGTTTCGAAACTCTGTGTTTCGGATTTTGTTCTGTATCTGCTCTGAAAAGGAAATTGAGGATTCCAGGAAAGGTT